TGTCAATCACCGGGTCCCGGCCAGTGATTCCCTGCTGGCACCCAGCGATCACCGTGTATTATGGACAGGGGAGAGACTGTATGTAAACAATACAGATCTCTCCCCTGACAGGTACTGCACACTGCTTTGTATGGATCTGTAAAGCACACACAGAGCACACAGTAAAACAGCACACGATTAACCCTTTGATCACCCCAGATGTTAAACCCATCCTGGCCAGGGTTATTAGTACAGTGTCACTGCTTTTTATTAGCACTGATCACTGTATTGGTGTCACTGGAGATGTCAGTGACAGTCATTTCCCCCCCAGTGTCAGAATGCTGTCTGCAGTCCCGCTATAAGTCACTGATCTCCACCATTACTGGTATAAAAAAACTGAAAAAAAAAATTCCAGCCACCATTTGTAGACGCTATAACTTTCGCATAAACCAATTAATTTACATGATTTGGGATTTAATTTTAGCAAAGACATAGAGCAGAATACATTTTAGCCTAAATTTATGACAAAACTTGATTATTAATTTTTTTTTTACTGGACATGTTTGATAACAAAAAGTCAGTTGTTTTTTTCTGAAAATTAATGGTCTTTTATTTTTATAGCACAAATAATAAAAAAAAAAAAAAACAAACCCACAGAGGCAATCAAATACAACCAAAAGAAAGCTCTATTTGTGTGTGGAAAAACATAAATTCCATTTGAATGCAGTGTTGCATGACTCCGCAATTATCAGTTAAAGTAACGCAGCGCCGTAACACAAAAAAATAGCCTGGTCAGCAAAGGGGGGTAAATCCTCTGGAGGGCAAGTGGTTAAGGTTGCAGCTTTAGGTGCTCCAAAATTTGTGACCACGTTGTCACTGACAGATGTATGTCTCAAATTAACAATTGTGAACCAGAGTCAGTCCCTGATCAACTGATCTCAATGGCAGACAATCACAGTGATCTCTAGATGTTTGTATGCAAGTTTGATTACAAACAAAATTCTGTCTGAAGATATCACTGTGCCCTTTAGGACTCATTCATAAAGGCACAGAGGGCTGAACACTGCAAGAAATTAGCACATTTCTACACCTGAAAGTCACAGATGTTGTACACAGCAGCCTCTACAAAGGCAATCTGTTAACTGTACATGTGTATAAAAAGTGAAGCACTAAAAGCTAACTGCACATCCACATTTACATATGCACACTGGGATGAATGAAGTATGCAAACTGCAAATAATAAAAAAAAAAGTATAAATGTATCTATATAAAGTGGTAATTTATTTAATACCATTACTTTTTAATTCCTTAAAAATCTTTCCTTAGGTTCAAAGCACTAATCTATGAAAAACCTGGTATTCCTTTTTGAATGATTGATGCACTTTTACTGAAATGTTTTAAACATTTTTGTTAGAAATAGCAGATTACTTTAAGCTCTTAAGCAGGCCATTTTTTGCTATTCGGCACCGTGCTACTTTAACTGGCAATTGCGCCGTCATGAAACACTGTACCCAAATGAAATTTATATAATTTTTTTCCCACACAAATAGAACTGGTGGTATTTGATCACCACTGGGTTTTCAGTTTTTATTTTATAAAAACAGAAAAAGAGAGTTTTGAAAAAAAAAAAACACCTATGTTTTCTTTCTGTTATAAAACATATCTAATTAAAAAAAATTAAATGTCCTCATAAAATTAATTAACTCTGAATGTACTGACGGGCAATCTCATTTTTTGAGGCCCTTAAAATGCCAGGACAGTATAAATACGTTTTGGAAAGTAGACAACCTGAGGTATTTAGTAAGCAGCATGGCAAGTTTTTTGAAGTTGTAATTTTTTGTCGCAGTTTGTTTTCTTTCACTTTTTTTTTTTTTACATACTGTCACCTGTGCAGTACATCAGCATATGACTGGTGTGACAGTTACCATGTATACGGACTGGTGAGAATATGTTAAAAAAATAAATACTTTTTTTTTCAATTTTTTAAACATTTTTTACGATTATTATTTTTTTTTTACATCCTGTGATCAGAGTAGTTCAGTGTCTCTATACTAACACTGTATACTCTGGAGGGGGGTGACCAGGGACTTTTTTTTTTTTGAATGCTATTACAGTGATGGTCACTTTAACAGCAATGTTTCAAACTGTCTTGAATGTGTTCATTCAAAACAGCTGTAATTACTATTGTGTGCTGTGATTGCCCCACAGCTGTCACATGATACAGGGTGCTGTTATTGGTTCAGGTACAATGTGATAACTGTGGACCAATCACAGCATCACAATAGGAATCACAGCTGTTATGAATGACCCCATTCATATCACTTGTGTATACATGATGATCATGTCATTGCATAGTGATCACGTGACATCACGGCCACTCGTAGCAATCAGTTACCATGATCTGCGGTGTCCTATGCTAGTGCACATGTGCTGGGCAATCTACAGGTACGCCGTCTGGCCTGTAGCTGCCACCCGCTCACAGAAAATCACTGTGGGTGGCTGCCAAGTGCTAAAAAAACTAAAAAGTACATACTTACTTCACAGCTGTATGCAATATGTACCATAAATTACCTATAGCTGGGTCTCCTGGAGTCAGGATGAATAATACCATATTGTTGGATAGATGCAAGAGCATTGACAGTTCCAAAACTGTTATATATAAAAATGTTATATGTTTATTCATTTGTCAGCTTATAATACAAGAAAGCAAGGTTTTCATTAAAAAATGTATCAAATAAAAGCCTGATTTGTCTTTAGATTATTTAGGTAGACAAATTAATTTGTGATTGTCAAGAAAACTGAAATCAGTAATAAACCCAATAATGTAATATTACAGATTGCCAATCATTAGATGCGGTGGCCACATTCGTTTTTTTAATTTTTAGTCCTTTTCCCCTTCTGTTTTCATCTGGTGATCTTACTTGTAACACACACCCAGTACCTACACTCTGGATGAAGGAGCACAAGGGGTATTTTTGGACAGCAGTAATGTTAATCTGGGGGAGTGCTAGATGCATTAGCAGATTTAGATACACTAACAATTTGAAGCCAAACTCCAGCTAACACTTTATAAGCAAGTTACAGCAGTGTTTTTTCCTTTTGGGAGTAAAGTTTTACGCACATAAAAGCTTATCATTGTGAGCACCCCTGTCAGCTGTAAATGGTTTGCCTCAACCCTGTAAGTGCTACATCTGCAGAATAGCTTGTTCCAATAAAAAACAACTTAATTACTGGCCAGATCACCAGGTGAAAATAAAGGAAAGCCTAAAAAAAAAATGAAGCCATCACATTTAGGAACTGGTACACTGCAACAAAATAAATGTTTGCTTTTGGGTTTAAAACCACCTGAAGCATGCTGGTCTGGCCATCTAGGCTTCAATCTTCTATCCAACCACCGTTCAATACAATCTTTTTCATATTTGATGAACACATTTTAACTTAAATGGACCCCCTACATACCGTACAGAAACACATTTGGATTTACAGACAGTTAATAGATTGTGAAGTGTATAGCCAGGTGAAAATGTACAAATAGTTACTTTCCATTTATTTTATGGATATTATACTGTATATTGCACAGTACTGTAATTGTTGGATGCCTGGTACCAATAAAAAAAAAAATTAATAAAATTAAAAAACAGATTTTATGTTACTTTTTCAAACAATTCATAGTTTCAGATCAAATGATTCAAAATATACATTTTATGAAAATATATAGTTTTAATTTAAAGACATATAAACACTTTTGGTACTGTACAGACATAATGCAGAAATTCATTAACTTTTACCCTCTTTTTTTTCTTAGAAAAACAGTCACATTTTTGCCAGCTATTTACAATGAAATATCAAGTGGACGTATAGTCGTACAGTGCTTTCACTTGACGTCTGCAGAAATCGTTTGAGGCCAGTTCAATGTTAACACAGCCAAGTCAATAATAGTTATCACTGTCATTGATTATTAGTTAACATAAGGTCGGTGGATTCTAAAATCCACCCCAAATAAATAAATAGTACACTACTACTCCATAAAATGTATTGCTATTTCTGCTGTCCTACACAAAAAAACAGTGTGGAAAATCTGCAACAATACTTAAAGTAGTGTTTGAATTCCACTCAAGCACAGCCAAAACCCAAAACAACACATCTTAGCTAAAATACAATGATTAAAGGAATAGGTCACTGTGCTATAGATCAGTTCTCCAGGTTAAAAACTAGATCACTGTAAATAAACTATGATCAAACTGGTTCTCCAAAAAAAAAAAAAAAATGAAATTAAATATTGTTAATACAGAAGTGAAAATATATTGACGAGTGTTTTGTGTTATGATTGTCAAGTACAAGCTTTCACCAGTCATCACAGCTATCTAAAGGCAATATGTGATTTGCAGTATATCACATATGCACCAAATACTGTTTTTATCAATAGATTTTGATACAACATAGCTAGCAAAGCCATATAGATTATACTTTGCATCATCTACAGCTTTGCTTTAAAATGAATTGCACTTTAAACGTATGTAATAATTTTTTTTTTTTTTTTAAGAGTGAGGTACAATAATATACATTCAGTGTATCAAATCTGTCTTTTTCCACGCTTTCTCTTTATAAATATAGAAGGGTTTTAGTTGCGCAAATGGTATATGACAATAAAAGCATTAAAAATATATTCTGCATACCTTTTTGACTTCTTATATTGTTGGGCCCTCTGCTGGTTAACAAAAAAAATTGACTGTTTAAAATGCTCTGTCTGATCTATATATATTGTGATCACAGGTGGTAAAGTATACCAAACAGTTAATGACTCAGTATGTAGCAGTGCATTACAGAAGTATAAAAAAATGTACAGGTTCTGTAAGAATTGTTGCTTTAATAAAAAAGCTGTAAAGAATTATTTACATATATATTACTATATGGTATAAATTAGTGGTCCTTCATGATAAACCATTGTCAACACATTGTGTTAATTTTAATTTTTCATCCTCCAACATCTGTCAGATTGTTGATCAGCAAAGAAAAAAAAATTAAATATTAGAAATCTCAATTGGCTTCTTATCAAGCAAATGAAAGTCAATTTTGCCATTGAGTGGGATTTGCACTTCAAGGTTTTCATTGATTCTGTGAGCTTTTTTGCCTCTCCTTAGACAGATGTACATTGCCATTAGAGTGACTAATATGATGGAGGCAAAGCAGAAAATGGACAGGGTGACCAGTGTTGGGACACAGGAATCTGTCTCCATCTTTTTTTGAGTGGGCTCAATTGCTATCTGTGGCTCTTTTTCTTCTATGTTAATATCGGGATCTTTTTTAAGCAAACTTTCTATGTAGCTTTCATTGCTGACAGTGTCATTCACAAACAGATTAACCATCACAGTGGAGAACAGTGGTTCTGGATAACCATGATCGCTAACTTTCACTAACAACCTGTATAAACCATAGTCATTCCTCATCAGGGCCTCTTCTAAAGTTATATTTCCTGTCTTGGCATCTATCTTAAATGACTCTGGCCTGGGACCCCTCCTTCCTATTATGCTATAAGCAATAACTGCATTCATCCCTGTATCTTTATCCACAGCATAAACCTCAGTTACAGGGGAACCAGGGAGAGTTGAAGGCAGGACAAGAAGATAGGGACATGTTTGACTGGGGGAATAACACCACTGGTGGGTTGTCATTAACATCCAGAAGCAGTATGGTAATTTTAGCCGTAGAAGACAAGGTTGGGTCACCACCATCAGACGCTTCGACCCAGAGAGTATAAGAACTCTGTTGTTCTCTGTCCAGTGATACCTTTGCTCTCAAGAGTCCTTTGCCAGTGTCGATGACAAAAATGTCACTTCCATTCACTATAGAAAGAGCAACCCACCCATTCTGTCCGGAATCAGCATCTGTGACGCTGATTACTCCAATTTCACCAAAGCCTGGAAAGTTCTCAGGAACAAAAAAGCTGAAATCTTTGTTGATGAAACGAGGGCTGTTGTCATTTTTGTCCAGCACGGTAATATGAACAGTGGCTACTGACTCCTTTGGAGGTGTGCCAGAGTCTCTGGCTTTTACAGTGAACCTGTATCTCTCCTTCTCCTCTCGGTCTAGCAATGTGGAAACTGTAAGAATTCCTGTTTGTTTGTCGAGAACAAAATAAGAAGGTGCATCAGCTCCTAAATAATAGGAAACCTGTCCTCTTTCACCACTGTCAACATCTGTAGCATGCAGTTTGGCCAGAAAAGCATTGGCTGGATTGTTTTCTTCTATGCTCACTTCTATTGTAGACTGTGTGAAAACGGGTGCATTATCATTCTCATCCAGGATCTGAACTTGTAATGACTTTTTAATGTGAGTCCCATGTATGCTAACTGCAACCACTGCTATATTATACACCCTCTTCACCTCATAATCTAGAGAATTGGTAGTTTCAAGCAAATGTTCATTTGTATAGGGCTTGTATGCAGTCAGACGAAATGGTCCTTCCCCCTCCAAATAGCAATTTACTTTGTACTTGCCATCTGGGTCTTTTATAGTGAAAAAAGCAATTGGAGAATTGACAGGTTCTAGCTCTTTTAAATATACAATCCCATTTTCTTCGTTGGCAATATAACGAGGTATGATTTCAGGTGGGCGGAATGTGACTTTGACAATAGAAATGATGACAGTAATGACAGCTGGGATGCACCCAGGACCATTGGCGAGTACAGTAAGCTTATGTTGTTTCATGGTACCGCCATCTATCTTCTTGGAAAGTTTTATTACTCCTGTCGATTCGTCCAAGTCAAAAAGTTCTTTTGATGAATGTGGAACACGTTCACTAAAGGCATACGTGATCAGGGCATTATTCCCCAAATCCTTGTCCTCAGCTTGCACTGCAGTTACCTTTACCCCAGTGCTTGAGTTCCCAGGAAGTGTCACATTAATCAAAGACTCATTAAACTGAGGACAGTTGTCATTGACATCACTTATGAGAATGGAAAGGGTGGCAGAGCCAATAAGAGGTGGATTGCCTCCATCTTCAGCAATTATAATTGTTTTATACTCAGATTTTACCTCTCTGTCCAGGGGCCCCATGATAATTAGGTAAGGAGTCCTCTCCCCACTCTCATTTTCTTCTACATCTAATGTAAACACACCATAGTTGACCACTAACCTGTAGGTCTGGACCCCATTCAGTCCCCCATCAGGGTCATAGGCAGGATGTTCTATAACCATCCTTGTGTTAACAGGTGCATTCTCCGGAACTGTAATATAAATCTGTGCCACAGGGAACACTGGAGCATTATCATTCACATCAATGATAGCGATCTTTACTTTGATGAGCCGGAAGTATTCCTGTGGCAAAATGATAATATCAAGCAGAAGGGCACAATCCTGGATGCCAGAGTTCTGAGGGCAGAGGACTTCTCTGTCCAACTCCTCTGCTGATGTATACAGCTCCCCTGTGCTGTCATTGAGTGTCACATATTTCCCACTAAGGCCTTTAGATGCCAAGCTGAACAAAAGAGGGGGGTCAGTACCCAGCTGCAGATCATGCACAATGTTTCCAATGAGATACCCCTTAGGAAATCCTTCTTGCAGTGTGTACAACAATTCCGATGCTGTGCTGTAACTTGCTAAGCTGAGCCTGGGTCCAGCGTAGAGCGTGATTAGATACAGAAACAAGTAGGGCTGTTCAAATGAAGTACAAACAGAAATTAGTATGCAAGAAAAATAATTATCCCGTATGTCTAATTTATTTGCGGTTAAACAATGATGTATTTATTTGCAATTTCTAAGTCTATATTTTAGATTCAAACGACTATGCATTCTCTTTCTAGTATTTAACATTGAGAGAGAAAGAAAAAAAAAAAAAAAACCATCTACGTTGTATTTAAAAATGACATTTCTGCATAACAGTCTCTGAAAACTGGCACAGCAGCACTGTCAAGCTTCCAAATCCAATTAGCTTAATGTTTTTTTTTTCTCATATCGCCATATAATGATTTTTTTTTCCAAATGTCATTTTATTTTAATCTATGCAGCATTGTCACATTACCGAATAAATTTCAAACTTCACATGACTACACACTTCATCATTCCTTTTTTTCTTTAAAAGATCATGCATAGTTATAATATAACTACTAGTTGCATCACCGCTTGTTCTGCTGGACTAACAAATCACCTACCTGTGCATGGGTAAGTGTGATCCTGGTTGGATTGGCTTGCTGCCCCATATCCAGGTTGAACGGCTTTAGAAGCCAGCTCTGTCCTCTTGTGTGCTGTGTGTGATCCTTTCATTCCCTTGGTAGTTTAATCCCAATGAAACTGCAGTCATTTAGTTCCTGGTGTTAAAGATACAGACACTCCCTCTCTGCTCATGCAAATCTCTGGGCAGCCCCAGCCAATAGCCACACATGCATCAATTAACAAAGGCTAGAAATGGGATGGACTGCTGCAAAAAAAATTCAATATAATACTTTTTTTTTTGGGTGGCTTAAAAAAAAAAAAAAAAAACTCATAGAAACTTTACAGAAGGCTAAGTGATGGTAAAAATTATAGAGGTGATGATGAAATAGCAATCAAATGTGATAGAGATCACTCTACTTAATGGCAAGTTGCAAACCAGTACTGCACATAGTAAATGTTCCGAATGTGGCAGCTGGAATGGAATATCTAGTAATGGGATAAGTCTCACCTGCTGATTTAGGACTGTGTGTCTGGGACTGAATGATCTGCTAGAGCTGCTGCTCCAACACAGCCCCCTCCCTCTCTCCCACTCCCAGTATGCTGACTTGTATGGTCAGTCCACATTTCATTCCTGCCTAGCTTGCCTTGTGCTTTGGCTTTGAAAAAAGGGATGCCTTCCCCTCCGGATGCTGCTAGTTGAAATGTTCTCTTCAGACGTGAGACCAGATTTATCACATTTTCTGCTATGTGTGCTGGCTGGTAAGGGGAGGCTGTGCAGCATGCAGCTGTGGCAGCGGAGTTAACCATGGCAGTACTGAGATAAAATGCCTGCAACCTGCTCACTTAGCACAGAGCATCGTTTAATCAGGTTGTAAAATAAAACTTATGGCCATTAGGTTCCAACACCAATTCCTTTTATAGTTCCTGCCACATTAAAAGCTTTTGCCTTTCTTAGATTTTTTTTTTTTTATTTTGCAGCAGATGTTTTGGAAGTAGAGTTAAAGTGATATTAAAGCCAAATTATAACATATTGTAGATTGCAAATTATTAGACACGGCCCTATTAGTTTTATTTTTAGGCTTTTCCCCTCTGTTTTCACCTGGTGATCTGGCCAGTAACACATCTCCTGTATTAGGCTACTTTCACACTGATCCATATGCATTTTTGCAATGTTTTTACTGCATTTTTACTGCATTTGCAAGGCGTTTTTTACAGGCTGTGTAACTCAAAAACCGCACTGAAAAACGCATTATTGATGTGTTTTTGTAGCGTTTTCCATTGATTTCAGTGGGGAGGTCCTTTTTTTTACAGCACCAAACTTGCACTGAAAATGCAGCAGGCAGGATTTTTAACTTCTTCGTGCCTAAGTCACACAAATATGTGGCCTTTCAGAATTCATTTTTTTTTTCCGTGGGGATGCATATTTGCGTACCTGTCTGTGTGCTGGGAGTGCGCAAAGACCGGGGTGTCACTAAGAACCCCGGGTCCCGTTCTAATGATCGGGACCCGGGCTCTCGATTCCGGGTCACATGATCACTGTGATAGCCTCTGATTGGCTTTCACAGTGATCAGTCACTGTGCAACCCTACCCCCTTGTTTTTTTTTTCTCTTTATGAATGGAGGAGAGAGATACATTATAGCTCTCTAACTCCTGGCAAAGAGGGGGAAAAAATGATTGTAAAATAAATAAATATTAAAAAAAAAAAAAGAAAAAATACCTAGATCAAGGTTTGATCTAGTTCAGTGCCAGGGTAAGTGTTTGGGTCAAAGGTTAAAGTCAAAAGGTCAGAGTCAATGGTCAGGATTTTTTTTTTAAATTCGTATCAGTGTCAGTTAGCGTCAGTGTGCTTTAGGTAAAAATAAAAAAAAACAAAATGCACGCTATTGTTTCTAGGCTGTACTATGGGCATAAACAACAAATAACATACATACAGTATCTCACAGAAGTGAGTACACCCCTCACATTTTTGTAAATATTTTATGCCATCTTTTCATGTGACAACACTGAAGAAATGACACTTTGCTACAATGTAAAGTAGTGAGTGTACATCTTGTATAACAGCATAAATTTGCTGTCTCCTCAAAATAGCTCAACACAAAGTCATTAATGTCTAAACCCCTGGCAACTAAAGTGAGTACACCCCTAAGTGAAAATGTCCAAATTGGGCCCAATTAGCCATTTTCCCTCCCCAGGTGTCATGTGACTCCTTAGTGTTACAAGGTCTCAGGTGTGAATGGGGAGCAGGTGTGTTAAATTTGGTGTTATCTCTCTAACTCTCTCATACTGGTCACTGGGGGTTTAACATGGCACCTCATAGCAAAGAACTCTCTGAGGATCTGAAAAAAAAAATTGTTGCTCTACATAAAGATGGTCTAGGCTATAAGAAGATTGCCAAGACCCTGAAACTGAGCTGCAGCACGGTGGCCAAGACCATACAGCAGTTTAACAGGACAGGTTCCACTAAGAACAGCCTTCGGCATGGTCGACCAAAGAAGTTGAGTGCATGTGCTCAGCATCATATCCAGAGGTTGTCTTTGGGAAATAGACGTATGAGTGCTGCCACCATTGCTGCAGAGGTTGAAGGGGTGGAGGGGTCAGCATGTCAGTGCTCAGACCATACGCCGCACACTGCATCAAATTGGTCTGCATGGCTGTCATCCCAGAAGGAAGCCTCTTATAAAGATGATGCACAAGAAAGCCCGCAAACAGTTTGCTGAAGACAAGCAAACTAAGGACATGGATTACTGGAACCATGTCCTGTGGTCTGATGAGACCAAGATAAACTTATTTGGTTCAGATGGTGTCAAATGTATGTGGCGGCAACCAGGTGAGGAGTACAAAGACAAGTGTGTCTTGTCTACAGTCAAGCATGGTGGTGGGAGTGTCATAAATCTGGGGCTGCATGGGTGCTGCTGGCACTGGGGAGCTATAGTTCATTGAGGGAACCATGAATGCCAACATGTACTGTGACATACTGAAGCAGAGCATGATCCCCTCCCTTCAGAGACTGGGCCGCAGGGCAGTATTCCAACATGATAACGACCCCAAACACACCTCCGGGATGACCAATGCCTTGCTAAAGAAGCTGAGAGTAAATGTGATGGACTGGCCAAGCACTTCTCCAGAACTAAACCCTACTGAGCATCAGTGGGGCATCCTCAAACGGAAGGTGAAGGAGTGCAAGGTCTCTAACATCCACCAGCTCCGTGATGTCGTCATGGAGGAGTGGAAGAGGACTCCAGTGGCAACCTGTGAAGCTCTGGTGAACTCCATGCCCAAGAGAGTTAAGGCAGTGCTGGGAAATTTATGTAACACACAAAATATTGACACTTTGGGCCCAATTTGGACATTTTCACTTAGGGGCGTACTCACTTTTGTTGCCAGCAGTTTAGACATTAATAGCTGAATGTTGAGTTATTTTGAGGGGACAGCAAATTTACATTGTTATACAAGCTTTACACTCACTACTTTACATTGTAACAAAGTGTCATTTCTTCAGTGTTGTCACATGAAAAGATAGAATAAAATATTTATAAAAATGTGAGGGGTGTACTCACTTCTGTGAGATACTGTATATGGTATCACTGCGATTGTCAAGAGCTGGAAAATTTATTTTGTGTTGTTCTTTGGTGGTAGGTTATGGTAGTAACAAGGAACACACAGCTAAATTTAAAAAAAATATATTTTTTTTTACTATTTTGGCCAGTTTTCCTTTGATAATAAAAAAAAATCAGGAGATATCCATTACCATTTAACACCAATTGAAAGCCCAATTTGTCCTGAAAAAAACAAGGTATAATTCACCTGGATGTACAAAGTAGTTGTGATGATATGTACGGTTTTACTAACACATCAACATTGCAAAATTGTGCTTAGGCATTAAGATTTGTTTTACCCTTAAGCGTGAAGGGGTTAAGAATGCACCAGACCTGCAACAGATCAATGTGAAGAGTTCCATAGGAATATACAGTGCTCAGCATAAATGAGTACACCCCTTTTAAAAGGTAAGATTTTAATCAATATCTCAGTGGACACAAGAACAATTTCCAAAATTTTGACAAAAGTGAGTTTAAAAGAACTTTTGTTTAGCTCATAACACAAAAGTAAGATTAATAATATAACTTTGATTATAAAATCTTCAGTTTTACTCAAAGTATTTGAAGCAAAAATGAATACACTCCGCAACATAAACTACTACATCTAGTATTTTGTATGACCTCCATGATTTGTAAGGACAGCACCAAGTCTTCTAGGCATGGAATGAACAAGTTGGTGACATATTACATCTATCGTTTTCCTTTCTTCAAGAATGACCTTTTTATAGAGCCTGAATGCTGGATGGAGAGTGATGCTCAACTTGTCTCTTCAGAATTCTCTGTACTGTAGGTGTTCGATGGGGTTCAGATCAGGAGACATACTTGACCACTGAATCACTTCCAGTCTGTTCTTCAGAAATGCAACAGTGCCCTTAGATATGTGTTTTGGATAATTGTCATGTTGGAAACGTGCACGACGACCAAAGGCACAGAGTGATGGTATCATCTTCTCTTTCAATATAGAGCAGTACATTTTTGAAATCATGATGCCATCAATGAAATGCAGCTCCCCAACACCAGCAGCACTCATGCATCCCCACAGAAGGACACTGCCACCACCATGTTGCACTGTAGGCACCATGCATTTTTCTTTGTACTCCTCACCTTTGCAATGCCATACAGTTTTGAAGCCATCAGTTCCAAAAATATTTGTCTTGATCTCATAACTCCAGAGTACAGATTCTCAGTAGTCTTCTTTTTTCAGCATAGCCCCTAGCAAATACTAGGCAGGCTTTTTTGTGCATGAGCTTTAGGAGAGGCGTCCTTCATGGATGACACCCATGCATGCCATTCTTCTGCCGTGTAAGCCGTATTGTGTCATGGGAAACAATCACCCCCCGGTTTGGCTCTCTACTTCTTTAGCTAACTGCAGTGAATTTGCATGGTGATTTTCATCAAACCCTTCTCATTAGAAGATGCTCCTGTTGAGGTGTTAGCTTCCATGGATGTCGTGGACGTCTCTGTGGAATGGTTGCTGTTCCATCTTTGTTAAATTTTTGTACCACTTTTGCTACAGTATTCTGACTGATGATTTTGTTGATCTTCTTGCAG